TTTTTATACAACTTAGGCAAAAAAGCTGACGGCTCACCTGATGGAAAGTGGTAAACGTCGCCTATAGACATGAGCAGTACAATGGACATAACAGAGTATACTGTTTCGCCCATGATACCTCCCATGCGTTGCCATTGCTGAGGACTCAGATGTTATTCCTCTGTACCCTATAAATCCGCGCTAAGTTGCTTCAAATGGGCTAAATATTTTCAGTGCATTGTATTAAATTATATATGTTTACCAGCTGTCTAGTACTCATGATATCCATAATAATTTTAAACTAAGTGACGCCGTATGAATTGTAATATATCCAAATCTTTATAGGTAGATATATCGTAAACAAAGTTGCTGGATATGTAAATATTAGGTAGACATCCTATTTCATACTTACTCTAGATATAAATGTGTTAGCGTTTTCCAAATAATCTAATAGTAGTTAGGGTCACAAAATTATGTCTGTTATAAACAATTTTACACATATTTTGCTTTGCTAATAATTTTAATTGTGTGAATACGAGTAATATGTCACAGAAGATACTGAATAAAATGTTTACTATTTATTAGACTTTAAAATTGTTGCTTGTTATGTTTCATAAAATTGTTAATGTAAAAATTTTGTAATACTTTTTCTCTGTTACAAGTACTTACTTTGTCTTTTTGTTTTTAGAGTATATATATATATATATCATCTTATTTATATACTTTAATTAATACAGCTTACTTATCTACGTATTGTAATAATTGTATGATTCATTGATTGTAAATTACATATTACTAACATTTTGTAAATTATTATTATTAAAATTTATCACACCCAATGGTATTTCTTTCATTTCCATCTATAGGTAACTATTACTCGTATCACCAAGACTGATATTAGCAGCAGCGATAAGAATGCATCTGGCCAACTTATTAGCAAGGCAAGCTCTAACACTTACTATTTTCAACAAAAGAACTTTTATAATAATGCAGTCATAAAATATTGGTTAAAAACAAAAACAAAACAATGAGCCGTTATCTAAAATTCTTTAGAAACTCCCAAAGTCGAATTATTATTAACTACTTACTTACCTTCGAAAAACTGCCGGATACCTGACTACAGCATTAGCTTTATTATTTTATTTTTATTACACTTTCTCGGTTCTTTTTATAGGTACTTGTCTGGAATTGGAGGCGGTATATCTCTTTTAAATATGGAATATTTTGCGGCATAGAACATTATAGCTAGAAACATGGTGTGCTCATGATTCATGTTTTCTCACTTTTAAGGACTAAGATGTTATACATTTTATATTAAAAGAAAACTTTTATATTAATAGAAATAAATGGTTGTTTTGTTCCGAATTGAATTAATAAACAATGAATTGAATAATTGATGAATGCATTCATCAATTATTCGATTCATCATCTGATCCTTGAAATAATTGTGTAGATAAAACTTTTAATCTTTCTTTAACTTTTTTTAACTTTTTCCATTACTTAATAATTATATAAGTGACATACAAGATATGATATTAAAATTGATGCTCCAAGCTACATTTTTTACACATTTACATAGATATTAAATATTGACTTATGTAGTTATGTTAAATATAACTTCCGTACTTTTAAACCTTACTTGTGACCTAATGTAGATATCAGAAGAGAAGGGATTGTTAGCAATTGAGTTTAATAACCCTATTGCTAACAATACCAAATACCTCCTACCATACCACATACCAGACCTCCCGTGGTTCCCCTGGGAATCATCGTGACTAAATTATTATTGAATTTGTCACGATGGACTAACTGACCTACTTCATCCTCACCTATCATCCCTTACTGGTATCCGGCTAGTATATACTATTAGTGCAAGCGAGGTTATCATTCTATTATTATTCATTAGAATAATGTATATAGGTATATATCAATTTGCTGTTATTTAGATGTAGAGCAGCATATTGCGGTCCTGATTTCGTTTTAGGTTTGAAAGGTAAATAGATGTTTAGTTGGAAGGGTAAGTTAACTAATACATACAATCAGCAATAAAAAAATTACCATATAATACCAATAGAATACATAGTAAGTTATAGCAAAGTTATTTTTTTTATACAACTTAGAATAGCAAACAAGCTGAAGGCCTACCTGATGGAAAGTGGTAACCGTTGCCTATAGACATACCATGGACATAACAGAGTATACTGTTTCGCCCATGATACCCCACATGCGTTGCCATTCCTGAGGACTCAGGTGTTATTCCTCTGTACCCAATAAATTCACGCCATATCTCACCCTTCAAACCGAAACACAGCCATGTAAAGACAAATGCTTCACGGTTGAAACACGAATGGGACAGAGGTACCCAAGCAATCAACTTTTGTACAAAGTCTCCTAACCGACATGAGAATTAATGCTAATAATTACAGAAAAATTAACAAAAATAGGCGCAGATTTGATAAAGACATACCTACAGCAGACACCTTTTTTATGCAACTTAGAATGGCAAACAAGCTGACGGCCCACCTGATAGAAAGTGGTAACCGTTGCCTATAGACATGAATAGAACCATGGATATTACAAAATACATTGTTATTGCCATAATACCCATTATGCGTTACCATAAAATTAATTATAGTTAACTTGAGAACTTCTGTCTTATATAAGTCGATTGAAAATTTAATGTCAATGAATTGATCAAATCTATTCAAATGTAATCTAAAGGAAATAAAAATAATCAAACTGGTCTCTGCTTATACCGAAGAGAGATATCATATAATTTTAGCACGTAACCACTAACATGCAACAGTTACCACTGTCCGTTAGATGGGCTGTCAAACTATTTTCCATTATAATAAAACATGCTCTAATAGTTGGGATATTATATTTAATATATAAAATTCTCGTGTCACGGTGTTTGTTACCGAACTCCTCCGAAACGGCTTTACCGACTTACATAAAATTTTGTGTGCATATCGGGTAGATCTGAGAATCGGCCAACATCTATTTTTTATACTCACTGATAAGGGTGACCCACCCCTAAAAATTTATTTTTTATATTTTTGACAATATTTTTTTATTTTTATTTAATTATGATTTAGCATTGAAAAATACATACAACCTCAAATTTTCACCGTTTTACGATCACCTCCTGTTTTTTAATCGCGATTTTTATATGCTGCAAGATGGCAATCCCATATAATAATTGTAGTAGGATAAATTTTCATGTATACCTACCTACCTAACTACCTACATATTGAACTAGGACTTTACGTAAGCATTAAAATGTATAAGGTACTTATCTATTTTCCAAATACCTTGCATCACTTAACCAACATATACTCACTCAATATAAGTCCAAAAACTGCATAAACGCGACAGTAGGAATAGTAAGCAGCTGTTATGATGAATCACTGTACAGTCACTCATTTTCTAGTACTTAAACTACAATTACTGTAATTACCTTTTTAACATCCTCACATAAAAATATTTTGCTATAACGCATTCCAACCGACTAGCCAGTATTTTATATACTACTTTATATTATAACGCTATATTAAAATATCCCATATTGACCTATATATATATATATATATATATCTTTAATCATATATAAATTAAATTAAACCTTAAATCTGTACAAATAAGAATCAATAGGCGAGTGTGATTGAATCAAAACAAGCATTGTTCCTTATACAGTCAATTACAGTAGTGAATCTCCTAAACAATGAAGTGAGAATGAGTGTGATCATTGACTGTGCCCGAATCATTGTGCTAGCGGTTCTTTCACTGAATAGGCTCCACTACATTGTCGCGGGGCCTTGAACTTATAACAGCTGAACACACAATACACTGTCTACGTCATTATGTAAAAATCTCGTAGACACACACATTTCTGATACATTACGGCATCTCTTTTGATAGTAATTTCGAGGTGAGGTTAAAGAAGTTTGAAAATTAAAAACAAAAATAGCTATTTATTAAAATAAGTATAAACCCTTTCTATACGTTAACATTTACAATAAATATTAAAAAAGGAAAAATTTATTTGTAATGGATAAACTCAAAAACTATTCAATCGATTTTAAAAATTCTTTCACTTATAAAAAGCTATATTATCAGAGAGTTATATAGTCTATATATTATTTTTGGAAATTCTATCTATCTGTGGATAGTTAGGTCTGATCACTAGGATATAATGGCTATCTTGTAAAACACATATTGTAGTAAAATATGCTATCTATTTTAATGTCCTATATAAAGCAGTTATAAACTGCGAAAAAGTTTATTAAAATATAATTATATCTGCCTACGTTAATATACGCCCTTTAAAGTCTCTAAGACATCCAATTTTAATATGTTACTGATCTGTTTTGATATGTTTTTCAATATATACCTATTTATTCAAATAAATATAAACACTGTCTCTGTCAATATGTAAACATCTTGTGGATATTTTTGGTATAAGTATTTAGATAGTACAGCTCTTGATACTTTTTTAAAAATTCAGTATAGATAATGTTATAATTTGAAATATTAGTAGAAAATAATAAAAAATCTAAGTAGGTAGACAAGTACTAATTTTCTCCTTAATTCCAATAAAATTATTAAGTAAAATAGATTTTTAAACAATCTAAATTACTCTTTTTTTATTATTTATCTTTAACTAACTCCTACCTACTTGTCTACTGATATTACGACAGCAATAAAATATAGTGAATAATATTAATTACTAAAATGTCATAATAAATGGCTAATATAAAGTATACATATAATAAGATACTGCATTTTGTTTATATTATAAAGCTATGAAGGTGCTTGCACCGACGGCAAACAAAATTGAGATTTGCATGAGGCGACGGCGAGGCGAACGCTCACCTCGCAGGCCACGCGATTAAAAATGCAGAGCGCGGCGGGTGGGAGAGCGCGGGAGGGGCGGGGCCGCGTTCGTCGCTCCTATTGGTGGAGGTCTAAACAGGCGGGCCCCCAGGGGACTGCGCGGGGGGAGCTCGCAGTCACCACCGCCCGGCAAACGAGCCTCTCCATAACGCACTGAGACTTCGCACCGCACGGTACCGCGAAACGTTATCTCGACGCGCACCGCCGCGAGTCCATGTGAACGACCGACGGTTCTCTCGTTGTGTACAGTGAAAGAAGGATCGGCAAGCTGTACGCGCCTCAGGAAGAAGACATGTTGACGATGGAGACGGACTTGAAAGGCGGCAGCCTGCATGCCACTGTGCCGCCGCACCATGCTCTCCAGCACGGTTACGGCTCACTGGGCGCGCTCGGTGGCATGATGGCCCTGCCGCAGCAACAGCCGTTAACTCAACACCAACAGCTGCAACATCAACATCACCAGGCTTTACCGCAGCACCACGCGCAGCCACCGCAACAGCACCATCAACCGCCCAACAACAACAATAACAACACGAGCAAAAACTCGAATGCAGACCGTGTCAAACGTCCTATGAACGCATTTATGGTGTGGTCGCGCGGGCAGCGCAGGAAGATGGCTCAAGATAATCCGAAAATGCACAACTCAGAGATCTCCAAACGGCTCGGTGCACAATGGAAAGATCTTTCAGAATCTGAAAAACGACCTTTCATTGACGAAGCGAAGAGACTTCGGGCTGTTCACATGAAAGAACATCCGGATTACAAATACAGGCCAAGGAGGAAGACGAAGACCCTTGCTAAAAAGCAAGAGAAATACCCCCTTGGTGGTGGAGCATTGTTAGGCGCTCCTGAGGGCCAAAGAACATCCGCACCGGCAACTCAACAACCACGCGATGTCTATCAAATGACACCGAACGGCTATATGCCTAATGGTTACATGATGCACGACCCTAGCGCGTACCAACAGCAGGCCTATGGATATCCACGGTACGATGTATCGCAAATGCAGCAAGGTGGTTATGGAGGTGGATACTACGGTGGCGGCCAGGGTTCGCCTTATCTCCCACAGCCGCCGTCGCCGTCTGCTTACGGGCTAGGACCCGGCTCACCGGGCGGTTACGCATTGCCGCCGTCCTGCGCTTCCCACTCACCGAGCGGTTCATCAGCAAAGTCAGAACCTGTGTCCCCTGGCCCCCCGGGACTGAAACGCGAGTTTGTGACACACGAGCCTCAGGCACAATTAAAACGCGAGTTCGCACCGCACGCACACGCCCACGAGCAGCTGTCCATGAAGCGGGAGTACGGTCAGCAGGACCTCAGCCATATTATCAATATGTACCATGTGCCCGACGAACAGCGGTACGCAGCCGCCGGCGAGCGCGCGATGCCGCTCATCTGAGAATCGCCTTTCGCGTGCGACATCGACATCCCGCCGCTATGAGCTGGTCGAGTCGCCGCGCACTTCGACGCCACCAGTGACTTTGTTACGCATTGGATGTCGCATTAGAATAGTGATCGTTATTCCCCGGCCGTACATACTTCTAGGTATGTGGATTTATTTGTTTTATATTAAGTGCGGGCCACGGCCCGCGCCGCTGTTAGTGTTACACAAACTGTTGACTTAACGAGTTACTGGCCTGTCACCGACGGCCGAAAGTTCAATTAACAATTGTTGTTTATTGTATTATAATATGATTACTGTATTTTTTTATGGTTTAAGTTGAAATATTCTTATTGTGTCGTGTGGACGGACATGAGTGCTGACTGCGGGTCGCGCGAAAGACGACGTAGTGACAGCGGTAATTTGAATACCAAAAAAATTTTGAACAATTTGTAAATATAGTGTTAAATGCTAGAGTTGGTTTTAGTCGATAAATTGTAGTTAGATAGCGATAAGTCGTGCCACGACGCCACACTCGCACCCTCGTGCGTTGTACAAAATATTTGTTATATGGAAACGAACGTTATAAATCCTCGAAAGACTAATATTGTAATACGAAAATGTACAGTGAGTGTTATATAGTCAGTGGACACAAAAATATATTGAAAAAAAAAGAAGTTATTAATAAACGACGCGTTAAAATTGTACTTGCTGTTTTGTTCTATAATCCCAAGTGCTTCCCTGCCACGTTGCCAGCCGGCACCTTCTACCTGCTTATACATTGTATAGTAATTGTTTAAGAAACTTAGTTGCTTACTTACAATGTTCCGATGCTCATTCGGACACTGACAAAATTAACTTACTTATTCAATTTCAGTTAATTACTTTAGTAGAAATTCTATAATATTTTTTAATAATCCTAAGTATAGATAAATATTGAATATTTATTATTATAAAAAAAATTTTTTTGCAATCAAATTTCCACTTAATTTTTGAATATATAAATATACTCAATACGCATTATACTCAACACTTTTCATTATCGAATGTTCTTACCTATGATTTCTTTTTAAATTAATATTTCATAAATAATTTTATGAGACTAAACTCAATAATTACTATACTAATTATGATAATAGTCAAATGAATTTCACATAATTTATTCATAATTATAAGTCGTTGTACCTACACGTAGGAATCTTGAAAACCACCTATAAAAGACATCAACGCAATTAGCGTGACTAATTTTAGAATCTAAAATTAGTAATACAAATTGCGTTGATGTCTTTTATAGGTACTACTAATTTTTGATTTAGCTGTGACTTAGAATTTGTTGCAGTTGCATTCTAAGTAGGTATCACAAAAAAGTCACTTCTCTATAATACAAATAAATGTATCGTTACAATACTAGTGATTCAGTTTGACTTCGTATAGATAGATAGAAGTTACAAAAACAATATCTTGCCTACTTATTCTCTGATAATGTAGTTTTCTACGAGTAAAAGAGTTTTTAAGATCGGTTAAGTATTTTTTTTTATTTATTCATGACAAACAAACAGTAAAATATTTCTTCTTTATAATATAAAAAAATTTTTCTTTCTTTTTCTAGTCTGCTAATTGGCAATCTGTTCCTTAAGTATAAAAAAATAACTAAATTTTTAAAGAACATAAAACGAAAATACAACTTATTAGTTTTTCATCAATCATATCAAAGTATATCGAAACTGAAATCCAGCAATTTATTTGTAAAAAAGAGGATTATTTCATTTCTACTCATACCTATTTTTACAAATGCTCAAATATAAAACTATTAGGCATTACATATACATGTATTGGGTATACTATCGAAGGACTTTTATTTAATTTAAACATTCAAACCACTTTCTTTTACACTTGTTTTACAAATATACAAAAATATTAAATCATCAAATGATGAAATACATAGGTACAACGGCACATTAATCATTAAAAATATTTACTATTAATAATTAAAAAAAATTATAAATGTGAGAGTGTGTTTGTTTGATACCTTATAGTGCCTTAACGGCTTAACCAATCACTACGAAATTTAGTATACACGTATTATATAGGATAGAGAAGAATACGGGCTACTTTTTATCATAGTAAACATATCTCGGTCACGCAGACAAAGTCGCAGAGGAAAGCTAGTAGTAATATTACAGTATTGCCCGTGTGAATCAATACATAAAATATCCTATGATAAGTTAGAATATAGCCTATAAATGTACCAAACATCACTCAAATCCATTTAGGAGTATTTGCTTGAAAGACTAAGAAACATCCATCCAAAGTTTTACATTCATTATATTTGTAGGATAAAATCAAAGTACACCTATATATCTGTACTAATATTACATATACGGAAGATTAGATTGTTTGTTTGTTTATATTAGATAAACTCGAAAACTACTGAACCAATATTAAAAATTCTTTCACCTACATAAAGCTACATTTTCAACGAATAATATAGGCTATATTTTTTTCGAAATATTTTTCCATTCATGCGAAACCGGGCCAGATCAGTAGTATATGAATAAAAATTGCATTAACACGAGACATCAAGTCAATCGTACAGAAACGTGCATTTCAATCAATTACTGTCAACACGCAAGGGGTGAGGCGGGATTTAATCAAATCCCCGAGCAGTTGATAGAGTTTCGGCCACTTTTTCGTCCCAAGGGAAGAAACGAACTTAATCCCGACGAAAATACGCCCCTGTGTTTAAGCTGAATTAATTTAAACACTATTTTCACTTAGCGCGGTGTGGGGTCAGTGAGATGTAACATGGAGTATCGCCCCTTAACGCTACCTATTAAATTTAGTGCTCCAGAGGCTTCCGCTCTATTTTCCAAAGGTCGCGGGTTCGATTCCCGTAGAATACAAACATTTGTATTGATAATACACGTACTTGTCTGAATGCCTTCTATTACGGAGCTGTGATGAGGTGATGAAATGATGTAGACACGGAATTTAGTAGCGAAATAAATGTATTAAACAGCGAGCAAGGAACAGAACAGAATAATATGATATATGTCAAAAGATATAAAATTGAAATTACAAATAATAAGAACATTCTAAAAGTAAATGTATATAAAAAAGTACAATAATGTGTAAAGAGTTTGCATCGGCCGGTCGCCAGTACCTTCTATATTTCATTATATTAGCCGTTAACTGACCATTGCTAAAAATATACCTCTACCATGAAATAGGTTTTGCCAGTAGCAATTTTTGGCAGGCAAGTTGGCAAGTGCAGTTAGGTTTTAGTGATCTTCTAAGAGAAGCGCTGCTGGCCATCCCTCGATCGTTAAGTTCCCTTAGTCGCTACTTACGACTACCACGGAAAATCAAGAGGTAGTCTATTGTATGCCGAACCAAACGGCCAACGGTTTTCTATGTTCAATATATACATATACACAAAATTTTAATATAATCTATTAGTTGCCTTGTATCCATAGTACAAGCCTTGTTTAGTTTTGGACTACTGTACATAGGCCTCCCCCGTAAACTGCCATATAGAACGGTGCTGAGCCACCTGCATCCACTGACTCCCTGCAATGCATTTCAGGTCGTCACTCCATCTAGTGGGGAGTCATTCTACACTGCATTTTCTCATACAGGATCGCCATTCAAATACCTTTCTTCCCCATCGGTTGTTGTTTGTTCGAGTTATATGACCAGCTCATTGCCACTTCAGTTTGCTTATTCCTCGGCCTATGCCGATTACTATGGTTCTTTGCGAATATTCTCGTATCGGATACGGATTCTTTCACGTAAAGTAATATAACTAGTAGTATTTATTTATTATATATTTATATCTTTCCTTACTAATATTATAGTAGATATAAAGCTTAGTTTGTCTGTTACTTCTTGACGCTTTTATCCCTCAACCAACCGTTACAAAATTAAATGCTAAAAATAATTTTTTTTCATTGTGCCCTTCGAAATATTACAGTAGTGAATTTGGCAGAAACAAAAAGACACAAAAAAGTTTACAATGATAAAACAATGGACGGCCTTATCGCTAAAAGCGACCTTTCCCAGGTAACATTTGGTTATTGGCAAGTAAATTTACCCGTAAATAGTTTGGTTAGAGGCATAAAGAAATTCTCGTCTTTGTTTTAAACATATACTAGTTTTAACTAGTGACTTCTTCCGCGTAATTGAATATGTCACCTAGCCCAGATAATAGCCTATGTCCTTTTTTGTCCCAAATAGTATCTATATGTATATCAAATTTCATCACGATTCGTCGAGCCGTTGAAACATCAAAAAGTAATACTCACTTTTACATATATATATATATATATATATATATATTTTTTCACTTATGAAATTGTATATATATAATATTAACAAAAATATTAAAATTATGATGTGAAAATAGTTTTAAGTTGAATTAAAACTATTTTATTGAAGTATTGAAGAAAAACAATGATGTGTATAAAAAAATAATCGCTATTAAATGGTGTAAAAGGGTTCAAATCGAACTGATTCATTTTACAAAAATATTTTTGTAAAATATTGTAGTTTTATTTCATTCTACTTTTTTACGAATTGTGACATCTCTATTGTTTTTAAAGATATCGTTACGATTCTTATACCATTCGAAAGAGAAAAATTTGCTTATTTAAAGTAGTTAACTTGAGTTATACTTTCTCATTATATATATATATATATATATATATATATATATATGATATTATGTTAATAAGTACACATTTTGACTTATTAAATAATAATTATGAACATATATAAATGCAATTAATATACTTATTTATTTATAATTTATTGTACACAAAATGTTACAACCATATAATATATATTAAATAAAAATATACAACAGACGAGCTCAACTCTGTAAGAGTTCTCTTCCAGCAAACCCTGAGTGGAAACGAGCATTGATATATCGTATAATTAAACTCTGAGAGCAATTACATATATAACTAATCCCATACAATATATATTCTAAGAAAAAATATACAAATTTCATATAAATCCGTTTAGTAATTACAATCAATTATACACATATCCTCACAAACTTTTATAATCATAGTAGAATTAATGGCGTTAAAAATGAGTTTGTTTGTTGTTACAATAATGACATTCTCAAAGTCTATAGAACTAAATAATATAATATATATATTTTTTTTTTTTTGCTTTATTAATTACGTCCATTTTTAAAAACAATATACATATATAACAATATAGAAAAAATAACAATGTTTACAATCCTTACTAATGTTATAAATAAAAAAATGAGTTTGTTTATTGTTACATTACACTGTCTTAACAGCTCAATCAAAATCACTACAAAATTTGGTATAAACTTACTATATGGAACGGAGAAGGATATAGGTTACTATATGTCAGTAAACATATTCCGGACACGTGGTAGAAGTCGCAGGTAAACGTTAGTTAATAAAATAAATGAGTTTTTTTTTTAATGGATGATAATGGAATGGTAACCCCACCCGCGCTATCGGTATACACCGGCGGGGCACCAGTGAAGGATGATAGATAAGGATGAAGTAGGTCAGTTAGCCCATCGTGACGAATTCAACAAGAATTGTTCACGATGGTTTCCAGGGGGAACCACGTGGAGGTCGACCTAATAAGGAATATTGCTAGCAATGGGGCTGTCAAACTACATTGCTAACAATCCCTTTCCCCCCAATAAATTTTTGAA